TAAACCTAAAAACATGAGTTTAGCATTATAAGTCTTTGAGTACATAAACATGAGTTTAGCATTACAAGTCTTGTGAGTACATTAAAACATCATTTTAGCATTACAAGTCTTCAAGAACTCTCTTCTCCTTTCTTCGCTTCAGCTAAGGCACATACGCATCCAAATAAATTATCATACTTTTATCGACATGTGCCAAACCTGTAAAGAATAATGTAACGCCCGTGAACCAAAAATGTGATTTTTGGTTGTGTGTCGATTGACACGTGTGTTTAATTCGCGAAGGAATCTGTTTGCTGGAGCTGTGTCGCGCGACACAAGAGGTTTGTGTCAAGCGACACATGCTTAAATTGGACCGTGTGGTTTTGATTTCTTATCGGGTTTGGTTTGGGTTGGTTTAGGGAACCTAGGGTTCCGTATTTAAGCAGAGAAAAGCGTTTTCTCTTGGGGTTGGCCGAAAATTTGATCAGAGAAAGAGTTTTAGAGAGTTTTGTGAGAGAAGTGTTTTTCTTGAGAGAGAAACAATTCTGCTCGGGTTTTTGGAGGAGATGATTGGCGGGGAAGATCGGATCGGATCAGAGTGAAACTTTGAGGGTAAGTTCTCCTATCTTTGCTCTTGATGTGGGTGAAAACCGCGTGCCTTTTGGATGAGTATTCGCTGAGTTATGGCCGTTGGATTGTGTGAGGTTTCTGCCGTCTCGAGTCTACGATCAGTCCACTTCGAGGGAGGATTCCCGTCGAACCATAGAGAATCAGGAGACGATCTTTATGCCGTTAGAAAGCTCTCTCTGTATAGTTTTTGTATTAGGTTTCGGATCCTGATTTGGAGGTAATCTCCATTCTCTGTGTTCGTTTGATTTCAGGGTGTTTTTTCTGAAATCTCTGTTTTTCCAGTTTCGATTAGCGAGATTGCGGGCTGTTTTCCCGTCGATCTGTTTGGAGTTAGGAGACGTTCTATACACCGTTGCGAAGCTCTTGGTGTCTAGTTTCCAGCTCAGGTTTTAGACATTGATTTGGTGAAGGTAGTCGCGAGTTATTCCCTTCTGTTC